TTCTTTCTTCACCCCCCCCCCCCAAATGAGGGAAGGAATTGATTCACTCGACGCATTACCCTCTCTCACGTAGTATTCTTCTCTTGTCCATCTTCTTTCTTCACCCCCCCCCCCAAATGTGGGAAGGAATTGATTCACTCGACGCATTACCCTCTCTCACGTAGTATTTCCCTCTTATCCCTCTTCTTTCTTCACCCCCCCCCCCCCAAATGAGGGAAGGAATTGATTCACTCGACGCATTACTCTCTCTCACGTAGTATTTCCCTCTTATCCCTTTTCTTTCTTCACCTCCCAAATGAGGGAGGGAATTGATTCACTCGACGCATTACCCTCTCTCACGTATTTCCCTCTTATCCCTCTTCTTTCTTCTCTCCCCCTCCCCCCCCCCCAAATGAGGGAGGGAATTGATTCACTCGACGCATTGTCCTCTCACGTATTTCCCTCTTATCCCTCTTCTTTCTTCTCCCCCCCCCCCCCAATGAGGGAAGGAATTGATTCACTCGACGCATTGCCCTCTCACGTATTTGCCTCTTATCCCTCTTCTTTCTTCTCCCCCCCCCCCCCCCCCCCAAATGAGGGAGGGAATTGATTCACTCGACGCATTGCCCTCTCACGTATTTCCCTCTTATCCCTCTTCTTTCTTCTCCCCCCCCCCCCAAATGAGGGAGGGAATTGATTCACTCGACGCATTGTCCTCTCACGTATTTCCCTCTTATCCCTCTTCTTTCTTCTCCCCCCCCCCCCCCCCAAATGAGGGAGGGAATTGATTCACTCGACGCATTGCCCTCTCACGTATTTCCCTCTTACACCTGTTCTTTCTTCACCTCTCACACTTATTTCCCTCTTATCCTTCTTCTTTCTTCAGCCCCCTCTCCTCTCCTTTCTCAATAACGCTTGACAACGTTTATAGATGCATGCTTCCTTTGTTTAAATTCTATTGTTAACTAATTCGGGAATTTAAAAAAAGATTCGGGAAATTCAACGTCTCGTTTTAAATAGTAGAACGCCGTTATATTCCTTGAATATAGACATTGTTTTATTAACATTTCTTGTGTTCAGCCCAAAAACAGTTGGACTGGGGTCTCCAATAACACCGGAATTTTTGAGGGATATGGATGCATCAAGAAGTCGAACGATTTCAAAGGATTATCGTTGGATTGAGGGGATAAAAGTTGATTAAATTATTTTTTCATTAGCACATTTATGTTCAGCAGATATTGGTATTCAGATCAAAGGCTCCTTTGAGTGCCACAGTATAAAATTTTCAGAATATTGGCAAAACCAATAAGCCAGATTTTTTTCTTTTTCAGCGCCGTAGGCAAAAATTTTGGGAATTTGGATTTGGCAAAAAATACCACAATGCGATGGAGTCATGACCCTGAAACTGCTTCATAGTTGAATTGCGTTGACTTCTCTTTGTAAAATTTCATAGAGATTTAACTTTTATTAATGAAATTCGTTATTTTTTAAGTAATATAATTATTTTAAGAAAAAGTTTTTACTTTTTATTGTCAGAAATTTTAAGCAATATTCGAGGATGGAGCTGCAATTTAAAAATTCTTAACAATTTTCAAATCGGGATCCCGATGTTAGAGAATATAGAGAAATTGGCCAAAATCTCTTTCTCTGCTCTATCTTATAAAAATGACATTTGAAACGTTGGCAATCTCTGATTGGTGGGCATTATATGTAAACGTCTATTAGAGGATTCCACATGGGAAGATAGAGAGTTAGAAGGGGAGGAGTTTCTGACAAATCCTCGTAATTTTTAACTCTCCATTCTTCAACTCCTCCCATATTTAGCTATGTTTTTAAGTCAGTCAAAACCTCCATCAAACTCGCATTCATTTTAATTTTAATTAACCTTTCAAGTTGCTATCCAAATTGTTTGCTTTTAAGTTTTATTCAAATTAACATGTTTAAATTATAATTAATTTTATCTAGCCTTTATCAGAGGGGAAATAGGGTAGATGTTATATATAATAGTTTTAACTGCTTCCAAGGCCAAGTAATATAAAATCTCTCAAACAAACTTGAATCTTTTTGACAAAATATTTTGTCAATCCACATCCTATCCTATCTCTCTGTTGTATATGGAAGGATGTGGATTGTGACAAAAGTGTGGGATGTCGATTATATGGGAGGAATGTCGACTGTAACTCTAAAGTTTCTTTGAAAGGGCTCCACTGCCACTTTTACCGTCCTTTTGTAGAATTTCATAATCAGCTTTGCTTTTTGGCTTGGTTATATGTCTTTAATGAAGTAAAATATTTTAATTTTTATCCAGAAGAACAATGATTCTTCTATCAATTCTATTTCAATTTGGCATAGCCTGGTTGCTTCTAACGGATTTAAATGGAATGAAACCTGGTAGTAGTAACACTATTAACAAAGAAATTGGAAAGAAAAGAGCTTTGGTTATTGCTCCCAACTTTCTTGAAGTTCATTTTAAAATGCTTAGTGTCTTTGCCAATGTGCTGACCGAAAAGTTTAATGTGGTGGGTGTTAGAAATATATAATTATAGTCTGCATTTTAGATATTATATTCTGATTTTAAAATTTTATTTGAACATTTTATTTATAAAATCTCTGCTTATATAAAATATTCCAATTATTATATTTTATTTTCAAATTTTTAAATCCTTCCGTTAAAATATTATTTAACTAGGGTGCACGCCGAACGCTCAGAGGCGGGGGAGCAAAGGGGTTTGGGTCGGGGTTTTAATTAAAAAATATTTAAAAAAATGCCCAAAGGTGTTGCTCTTATAACATTATAGACATAAAAAATAAATTTAACGTCAAAATATTTTTATGAGTAATTTGTTGTCAGCTAATGACAACTTTAACATTCTATAATTTTATTAACTTTGTTTTTAAAAAATCAATTTATAATAATAATTTAAAAAGTTTTAAATATTAAGCACTTTCTAATTCTGAACACCAAAAATGAAAAAGTTGGAAAAAATTTCAATTGTGGAATTGATACTAAAAATTTTACACAAGGAGACGGAAGAGATAAAGAAGGCGGAAATACATATCAAATTATGAGTATTTCAAATGAATATCCCAAAAAATTGGATGAAGGCGTAAATAGTCTAGAGAATAAATTCTTAAAGAGAGGATTTGAACAGAACAGTCAAATTCTCACAAATGAAGCTTACATCGTGTTTAAAGGTTAAAATTCCTTTCCTCAAGGCAATCATGAAATGTTTAGCCCGTGTTTTGTTGGAGTCTTTTTTATAATCCCCTTTGAAGAAACTTGTTGAATTTCTTATTTCCTTCTTTCTTTCACGAGCTCCGCTCCGGGTATTTTAACATCCTGACTCCAGCTCAGTCGATTTCTATCTAATTCGTGTAGCCATAACCAATACTGTTAAAGACTAATATAAACATTTAAGATTTGTTCAATAAAAAACAACATCTTATTTATGACCTGGAGGCAGCAGAGTTCGATTTGGGATTTTTTGACACTTGGGACACAGGAGCTCTCTTTATTTTCCATGAAGCAGGAATTAAAAATGTTTTTGGCATTAACAACACCCAACTTAATGCTTATCAATTTAAATATGCTGGGAAGGAGTTTCCAAAAAATGTTCCAGGTTTTTATCAAGTATATGACAAAATATTAGCCCGGTAATTTCAGAAATTTATTCGGCACGAATAGGCGATAATGAATTATTTAGTCCTAACCGACTTATTATTACCAATGCAATGGAAGGAAGACAAAAACAAATACTTGAAGAATATAAAAAAAGTTTAAAAATCTTCTCATCTGTTCATAGCAAATTGGTTATTTAAATTAAATTTAAATTCTAAACACTTACGGGTGTTTCCCTTTGTCAGCTTTTTATTTAAAATACAAAATGGTCAGTCATTTCTTCCTTGAATAATTTCAAAAAATTTCCCTGTGACATATTTAGTCACTCTTCCAATAATTTCATTTTTTATTTGTAACCAATTATGCAAGGAAAAATGACCGACCATTTTGTACATAAATTAAAAAGCTGACTGGGCGGGGGGAGTGAGTACCGATTTTTGTTGTAACAATAGTTGGTGGATAATTGAATTCATTAATTTATAATTTTTGTAAATGAAATACATATGTACATTTAATACTTTATTTACTCTATTTCCGACCCTCACTATGATAATTATTTACATTATTTATATTAATTAACTACCGTGGGAAATTTTAATAAATTACCTGCAGTCAATCGAAAACGTTCTTCGATCTAAGTCGAATGACATCAGAATGTTTTGACTAAATCTCTGAGCTAAATGTCCCTAGACTAGAAGAACCTATACCTCAGATATATCGGTTAATATAAAATTTACTTGAGAAATTGCTGATTTTTCCGATTTTCGCTTTACGATTTTCGATACAGCTATAGATAGATATATAAATTTTACAGGACGACTGGTTTGAACAAAGAAATCAACAAAACCAATCAAAAACAAAAGGGCAACAAACCCCACCAACAACACAAGGCCTTTATTCTAAGATTAAAGGAATATTCCTTAACGGGCATGAACTGTTTGATTTTCCTTTAGGCGAAAACAAACCTGAAAATGTTTTTTATGTTGGTGGAATTCATTTGAAAGAATCTGACGATAAAAAGGCAAAAATTTTTTAAACATTCAAATAAATACATAGAGTTGTCGGTTTTAACAAAATTTTCGGGTAAACGAAACCGAACGGCAAACCTACCCGAAACTTTTAACCGAACCAGGGAACAGAACAGAAAATCCTGAATTTTCTGATTATGTTTGAAATATTTAATAAACAAAACGTTAATGTTATCGTTAATATGCGACAAAATTCGGGAGAATAAATAGAGAACAATAGGAAAGGACCTAATTTAGTAGGACACAACAACCATCTAACCAAGCTTATTGTTAAATTATTTTTTACTCATTAATGCTCTTTCTGCAAGTACGGACATAATACTTTAATATTTCTGTTTTCAAAGGAACCGGAGAGTTCAAACAAACAAGTGATTATGAGCATTGAATATTGCAGACAGATTGCTCAACCAGAAACCATAAAAATTTTGGAAAAATTCGTGGCGGCTATTAAGAGTGTGTCACATTCAAAACAAATGAATTTAACATTTATTTATGATTGTAAAGCAGGAGGAGATGATTTGGAAAAGTTAGAAGAAGTAATGAATGATTTAAAACATGAAATTAAAAAAATTCCGGAGATGCAAGAGGAATTGGGTAAATTTAAAAATTGTTATAATAATTTTAGATATTTCTACTTTTTAGCAAAAGGTAACACAATTCTTTTAATCACCAACAGCAGTGGATACCAAGTACTTGAAGCATTTTATGAAAATGTTCCAATATTATCTTTGCCTTATATGGTAGATCAATTTTATGTTGCTGAAGCCTTGAAAATACCTCATCAAATAGAAATCGAGAATTCCGCTGATGGTGAAAAGCCAAAAGCCGGAGGAGATCAAAAACATGGGCAGGACACTAAGCATCAATCAGGAAATGGACGAAGCAAATCCCCTGCTCGAGGAAGGTCCCCTGTTCGTGGAAGGTCCCCTGCTCAATCAGGAAATGGACGAAGCAAATCCCCTGCCCGAGGAAGGTCCCCAGCTAAAGGCAGTTCTCATGTTAGACCTTCAAGTTTGGACAAACATGGCGAGAATCATCACTTAATTGTTAAACAAGAAGTGGTTAGAATTGCTCCAACATTAAGCTTCAACAATATGTCAAAGAAAGTTGAAAAGATTGGAGATAATGAGACTATTGAAGACGTTGGAGATATTAAAGCGGTATTGAATGAGTTGTTGGATGACAAGTAATTAATTTTAAAAATAAATATTAAATTTGAGAATAATATTGAAATTTTGTTTTTGGTTCTTTATTTTATGCTCACAAAAGCCGGCAGGCTTTATCCGAAAGTCAAATTATTTAATTATAATAAAAAATTATTTTTTGAAAAATATAAAATTTTTATTTCAGTCACAAGGAAAAGGTTAACAAAGTTCATAAATATTTACGCCAGACATTGAAAAAGAACAATCCAAAAAAGATTTTCCTCGCTAAAGTAGAAGAAGCTCTTCGCAATTCTAATGGAGAAAATGAACAGGGCCCTATTTCAATTGTCCACAGATTCTGCGGTCTGCGTTCTGTGCACAGACCACAGAACCACAGAAATTCTGTTTCAATTATTCCACAGATTCTGCGGAAAAAGAAGTCCGCAGATTCTGTGGAAACATGCACAGAATCTGTGGAAACATCCACAGATTCTGCAAAACATCCAAAAACATGCAAAAACCACAGAATTCTATTTCAATTATTTTTCTGTGCACAGAAAAAAATCCACAGATCTGTGGCTTTTTTAGTCGATTCTGTGCATTTCTGTTTCAATTATTTCTGTGGTCTGCGGAAAATACACAGAATTCTTTAAAAAATCCACCCTAAAATTTTTTCTGCGAACTTTCTGTGGAAAAACTTTAACAATTTTTTTCTAGGCCTAGGCTTAACCAAATTTCAAAATTTTTAAAGATTATTAAAGTTTGAATCATTCTCTATTTTTTGATATAAAAATTATAATTTTATTACCTAAAATTATTGCTTAAAATTAATTTTGAAAAAGGTACATCTTTTTTACGCAGTTTTTGTTATATTCAAGCAATAAAAAAATAAAAAACGTGAGAGATTCTGAAATTTAGAGCTATGATGTTCTAATCATCATGGATATCTCTAATGAGGGGATGTTTACCAGGATCTATAGAATATATCTGTATAGCGTATACTGGGATATCTCCCATGATCTCTCATTGATATCCGTCATAATCTCTCCTCCTATTTAATGATAGATTTCCTCCTTAATCACTCCAATATATTAAACCTCAAAATCAATGGATATCCCACTTAATCACTCCTCTACGATTTTAAAGTTCCGATTTGACTATAATTTTGGATTCCAGGCATTTTCGATTTCCAGGAACCTCAATTTCTGACTAAACAATCCCCAAACATTTCCCTCCCTTGCAACAACTTCTATCGTAGTTTGAAAAAGCCACATGTCGGATCGACATCTCCTGATTTTTCCGATCCGAACCCTGCTTTAGGACATTAATTTAATTGGAGATTTAAGGATATTGGATGAACAAGAAAATTAAGCGGTATATCAGCGGTTTTAAAGTGATATCAAAGAGATTTAAAGGGATGTTATGTGATTTGGAGGGAAAATTTTTAAATCTTTACAATATTTTTCAGTTTAATTTAAGAATTTTTAAAGTTTTACTTCAAAAAATCAGGTACCATTAATACTGCGGTAGTACCGAACTGTCCAAACCATTTTTCGTTTCAATAAAACTGTTATTTTCAAAAACGCGGAAATAAAAAATTTGAATTTAGAAGAAAAAATACACAGAACCACAGAAAAATAATTGAAATACAAATTCTGTGGATCAGTGGAAAAAATCCACAGATTTTTATATTTTCCACAGAAATTTTCATCCACAGAATCTGCGGAATGTTTCCACAGAATCATTGGATGTTTCCGCAGAATCTGCGGGCACCACAGATTCTGTGCACACAGAATTTAATTGAAACAGAATTTCCACAGAATCTGTGTTCTGTGCACAGAATGCAGAATCTGTGGACAATTGAAATAGGCCCCAGGAGTGAAAAGTACTGGATTGAACAAGAGTGAAAAGTAAATTGTAAAAATGTAAATATTTTTATTTATCGAGTCTGTCCCTTTGTAAATTTAAGTAACATACCCCAAAATATTTTACCCAAAATTCTTCTTTAAGGTTTGGGGTTGATTATATGTTTTTCATTACCCCGTTTTTATTCACACATTTTGGCATTTTTTCATTGTAAAAAATTTTAAAGTCCCCATTTATGTACAGTAAGAGGAAGGTAAATGTTTACTATAGCGATACAGCTTCATTGCTGGTTTCACTCTTTTAATTTCCTGAACGCCGTTTAGTATACCTCTTGAATGCTAACAACCGTTATCTACCTTCTTTCTCACTATATATCACAAAAACTGTAGAACCCTTCTACATATATCTGATGTACCGATGAGCTATGAATTCTATTTGAAGTTTTATGAGAATATAACTCAAACTGTTAAAATTCCTTTGACTCTTGGGTCTATAACTTTGAGACATCAAAAATTTATAAATTGAATATTCAACATATCTTCGATGTACAACCATTATTTGAAAATTCATTACTTTTAGAAAAATCATAGAGATACGGTACACCTGGTATAAACCAAGATTTTAACTTGAAACAAGTAAATACCCCCATGTATTTTATTTATTTTTTTCGTACCATGTAATTTTTTATTTATTATCTATTTTTAACTTTATTTTTTAATTCTGTAGTTTATCGATAAATTTGTAGAGGAAAATTGTTTTATTGGTCTTCGCGGCGACCGTAGCGAAGCGACAGCCGTCGTTTCGCTCGACATGCCCGGCTTGTCGAGACTTTTTTAGAGGTTAAGTCAAAAAGTAGAGAAAAACATTTAGACTTTGTGGATGGGTAAAAACAAAATGTCATAACTTTGTCAAATCAAGTCAGATTTGTTGATTTTGGTGTCATTCAACTCAGCTCGACGAGCTCTTTCGAATGAGATATAATCCGCATATTCGAATTTTTTACCGCAGAAATGTGCTTACTTGATTAAGATTTTTGGCTTCTTGGCCTTCCAAAATTTTCGCTCGGCATTAAAAGAGAGAAGAAAAAAGTTGAAAAGTTCGTTCAATTTTGAGAATTTTTGCGGAATAATAAGTGACCAGATACTCGGTACTTATTCCGCCCCCCCCCCCCTCCCAGTCCGCTTCTTACTTTTTGTACGGAATGGTCTGTATTTTCTTCCTTGCATAATTTTTGAAAATTTCCCTGTAGTCATATTCACTCACCCTACCTTCAATTCAGGCAATTTTTTTGTTTATGATTGCTCGCCTCATACATTTTGCCCTTGTTACTTGTAAATAACTGAATAAATCGATGTTATTCTTTATATTTAAAGACGGATACAAATGAAAAGTAAATTATTGAAGGAAGAGTAAGTGGATGACCAAATACTCTAAGTTCTGTGCGTGTCGGTCTAACTTAAGGAACAGACAAGCCAAGGAACGACAAATCAATGTCGGACAATTCAAGTTTTTACCAAATCACGGAACGACCAAATCATGAGACTTCTGTCATTTTTAAAAACAGAATATTTTTGTAAATCAAAATTTAAAAATTCTGATTTTCAAAAATATTTTGCAGACAAAATTGAAAATTCAGAATGTTCCCTGAATTGGACGTTCCGAAAGTTGTTAAGACTGTGACTGTCGTTCCGTGACTTGTTTTCGTGGCCGTGTAAAATCAGAGTTTTTCATATATGTATTAAGATTGGCGGATAGTTGGAAATCTTCGGATAATCCGACCCGAAAATTTCCGGATATTCGGCTATTTTTCGGATCCGGATCCGCCAACCTTAATATGTATGAATTCAATTTAAGGATAAATGTCTTCTAACACATTCCTTTGCATCATTTGTTCTGAAACTTTGACTCGTAATAATATATACTCAATCCCTTGTGGTCATGTGTTTCACAAGGAGTGTATATTTTAGATATTTTTTAGTAAAATTTAACATTGATTTAACATAATTTTTCAGTTATATATTAAACGTATTGAAACTAAGAACGTAGTTGTGCTTGAAAATGTTAAAAATTCTGATACTATCAAAGTTCTTATGTGTATGGTGGAATTGAAGACGGGAATTCCAGTTGATGAACAACGTTTGGTTTGTAAAGATCGAGATATTGACTAAATTAAATTTTAGATTTATGATGGTAAGCAACTTGAGCGTGATCATAAAATTTCTGATTGTGGTATCAAAAATGGCTCATTTCTTCACTTAGTTTTGCGTCTGAAAGGATGTTGATTTTATGATTTTTTGCGGCCAATTTGATAAAAAAATTTAATTTTAAAAATATTGCTGGTTTTTTGAATATTGAATGTTTTAACTTTAAAATTTTCATTTTTTATTGATAAATTGTTTGGGCTGTTAGAATTTTTCTCTTTGTTCAAGTGTCTAAAGATTTTCTAAAAATCGACGATCCTAAGATTTTGAGCAAATATTTCTTGGAATACTTAATTTTTTATTTGGCTTTCAAATAATATTTAATAAAAATAGGTAAGTGCCTGAATGTTAACGAAGGACCCTTAATAGATCTCGGTTTGGTTCATTGGAAGAGACATTCAAAAATGTCTGATTATTGTACCTATTATTTGCCTTCTAACAAATAAGAGAAAATTGACCTAAAAAGTTTATTTAATATTTAAAATAGGATTTTTCTTTTTGAATTATTTTTTGCCTCCTTTAGCTTGAATGAGGATAGTGAATGATTTTCTCATAAAAATTTTTTTAATATTGTCTGAAGCAATATTTTTAAGGTTTTGGTAATTCCTTCAATCTTCTATCGTTTCCTACGAAGTATGAGTATAATTTTGGTTTTTATTTAAAGATTTGCTTCCATTTCCATCTTGTTTTTCCATCCTAATTTTTGTCCACATAACTTAACTTTTACTTAAAATGTTTGTTGAAAATAAATGCTCGACAATAAAAGAAAAATTAATCTGAACTCAAATTGGGGCGGGGCAGGATATTAATAAAGTACCCGTTTTCCGGAAAAAGAGGAAAATTTTTACTCATATTTTTTCTGTCATCAGCGTAAAGGAAAAATAAAATCACGCTCTAAATAAGTTATTAAAACAAATTTTTGCTCTAAAATTTTCTTAGGCTAATTTGAATGAAAAAACCTCGTGTCTGCTTAAAGCCATAGGATTTATTGCTTGTTGGCCTTTCTGAACCCAATCGTATTATTTTACTCACTTTTTTCTGACTTCTTAACATACTTCGGATTATTTTTACAATCTGTATATATTTCTTTTTCTCATTTTCGTTCCATTCTTCATTAAACATGTCATCAAATATTCTTTCCCTCAAATTAAGGCATTGATTTCCAATGTTTTTATTTAGTATCTGTTTTTTGTTATAGACTATATACAAGAACATACCAAAAAGGGGATATAATAAATACATGATATACAAACAGAATTTAACGAAACTACAATTTAGGGTCAAAAATGTCCAAAATGTCTTTTTACCTCAATCTTAGGCAAACCCTAATTTTCGTGCCTATTTTATTTGTCTAAAATCAAAGATACCGTATTTACTCGATTAATTCCCCTGGGGAATTATTTTTTCAACCCAACCGTGGCATGGGCAATTAATAGAGGGTGGTGAATTTTTAGAGGGAAGGGAATTAATCGAGTAAATAAGGTTATAAGAATTCAACCAATTTCAGATACCCAAAATGTCTTCCACCACATTCATTTGTATTATCTGTTCCGAACCTTTGACTTCTGATAATATGTTTTCAATTTCATGTGGTCATGTTTTTCATGAAGATTGTATGACTCAAATAATCTCTCAAGTAGAAAAATTTAATTAAAATTTTAAATTTATTTTTTGTTTTGAAGAAAAAGTATTGCCCTCAATGTCAAAAAGTTGCAACATTAAAAGATGTTCGGCAATTACATTTACAACCTTTAGACAATATGCAGACTAAATCTGAATCAAATAAAATTAAAGTAAGTTGGAAGATTTAGAACAATTTTTGGGATTAATTGGCTTTATATTAAAATTTAAGAACTGAGGAATATTCTTTTAATTAACAAATTCCCCCCTCATCACCCCCAAATACATATTTTATATGTATCTATCTAAATTCCCGATCCATCAGAATTCCATTATATCCCAATCTATCGGTATCTACATATATCTTCTATCCCTGGATATACTTCTTAATTACGAAACAAACCCTGATCTTCACTAATCCCTCCAATACCCTTCTTTTACTTTTTTATCTTATTGAAATAGAGTAAATCAACAGTGCCACGATTTGATAAACAATCCTAAAAATTGAAGGCGGGGACTTTTCTCGATCGACATCTTTGTTTTTTTTCTTTCATACAATTTATTTCGTATAGTTTTACTAAGTTTTTAAGTAGGAAAATTTTAAAACAAAGTTTAATTTATACGTATCAAAGATAATCTTGGGGGGAGGGACTATTTTAGAGTGAGTCTACATATTTAAGAGTGAAATATTTTGTTACAATTAATCTTTTAATTATGCTATTTCAGTTAAATGTTATAGATTTGATTAATCACAAATTTGTTCTCGAAAATGTTAAAAGTTGTGATACAATTAGTCTCATTAAGTGTATGATTGAAATGAAAAGTGGAATACCTCCGGATCAACAACGTTTGGTTTGTAAATAAAATTCGGAAAATATTTAGAATTATCATTAAATTTATAAATTATAGCATAATATAAAAAATAAAGAGATGAATCGATCGGTACCAAAATTGAGTTTTAGCTATATCAGTAACAAAAGTAGTTCATGTGTGGGGAACCAGATACCTAAAAAACAAATGTTTATACAGATACAATAATCGTTTCATGACTTCGGCCACTAGGTCCTAAGAAGTATTCGGTACTTATTTCCTCCCCCCAGTCCGCAATTTAGTTGATTACAATAATTTTTAGATTTATATTGGTACGCAACTCAAAGATGACCGTACAATTGCTTACTATGATATCGAGGATGGGGCAACTATTCACCTTATTTTACATTTGCTAGGCTGTTGATTTTGTTTTTGACAGAAGATGTAAAGAATTGGTAAAAAATATAACCGATTTTTAAATAATTTTTTTTGAAACAAAATGTTTTTAACCAAAGCTTTGTAAAATTTTTTGATAAATTTGTTGGATGTAAAAATATTAAAAATTTAGAGTAAAAAGTTTGTAGAAGTTTTTGTTAATTTTGTTATTAGTTTAGAACAAGATTTAATAATTCCCATCGATATTCCCTCAAATCACTTTATATTCAACGATATCTCATTTAATTTATTTGTGTAAATGTAACTGTAAATTAAGAGAATATCAAAATAGCGAAAATTCTGAGAATTTAGTGAATGCCAAGTAGCCAGTGTATTTCCTTTATTACCGCCCTAGGGAAAAATTTTGGAAATTTAAACAAAATTCTCAGCTTTAAAATCAACTCAAATGTCAGATTTGATCAAAATTACAATGTTTCTCCTCTTAATCCCCCAATTCTACAACCGAAACATAAATTTTCGTCCATCTCCAGACACAAAACAATAATCTCTTTTTTAACCAACAACCTTTATTTAATATTTAAAATCCTCAAATAAAATTGAATAAAAACCATAAAATAAGTTAAATATCATTTAATGATAACCCTTTAAACTATTCAAGTACTCTCTAGATATTCCTTTCTTAATTAACGAGGCACTAAAAGAGATTTTCCTCCATCAATTTTAAGCAATTCTCCAGTCGTGAAAGTTGCATCTCTTGCAAGATAAAGAATTCCTTTAGCAACTTCCTCAACTGTTCCACAACGTCCTAAAGCGTGTCCTGCCTTTCCACGTTCAACAAACTTTAAAAAAGAATTTTTTAGTTTTTTTTAATTTTAAATTATTTACATCTTTATATTCTTCTTCACTCATATAAGCTCGTCGATGCAAAGAGGTGACAATTAATGCTGGGCTTTAATTTTAAAAAATTGTTAACTTTAAATTTATCACAAATTAAGTGAATTCAATTGTAATGTTTTCAGTCCAAATGTCAAGTTTCAGGTTAAGGGGACTATATCGTGCTGGCGGATTCGGTCTCGAACCATTAACCCTAAATATGAACCTTAGCGTGGGCATCACGAAGCCAAAGTAACTCTGTCAATGGCAAGAAATATTTTCTCAGTCCCAATTGTGTTCGAAAAAATCACTAATTGAGTCAAGCCTTACGTCTTATGTAAGATCTGACCTTTCTTTAATATAATTTTGACAATTTTTTCAGGTAATTATCTGAGAAAAACGTTCGTAAAGAAAGGAAAGTCTCAAGTTATTAGAAAATATTCTTAATCCCTAAATGCTTTCTTCATAAAGACCAATTCAGAATTATTAAAAGCATTATACTTTTAACATCAGATAACCCTTCTAGAAAAATCCCAAAAACAAACTCACTTCACAGCATTAACACGAATCCCTTTTGGAGCTAATTCCTGAGCCAAACATTCAGTAAATTTGTCTACAGCAGCTTTAGACATACAATAATAAGTGACAGCCGGGAACTATTTTTAAATAAAAATTTAAAAATATTTTTAAAGGGACATACAGCACAAATTCCAGAAATACTGCTAACTATAAAAAGGAGGAATTTTTACAAAATATATTATTTTTTAATTAAATAACCGTTAACAATACTTCCTTTAGTTTTTTCGAGATAAGGCACGGCTAATTGAGACAAACGAATTAAACTTTTAATTAATTAATTTTTAGAAGGTTAAATCTTTATACAAAAAAACCTTTTAACATTAACTTCCATTAAATCATCCAAGACAGATAAAGGAGTAGTTTCAGCCCCTCCTCTATCTATTATTCCAGCATTATTTACCTTAAAAAATGTGGGTGAAAATAAAGTTTAAATAAATATTTTATTGTTATAGTTAATTTAGTTAAAGCCTGTATTCAATTATTTTATTTCCTAGGTGGGTACAGCCGAAGTAAGCGCGCGGGCATAACAACCCAAAGCTATAAGTTGCTTCAAGATTTCCTAATCTTTCAAAATTAATAGATATTAAACGATTCCTCTCATCGAGTTAAAGAGATTGGTACGAAAATTGATAAGGGCCGGAAATTTTCCAGAAGGTTATGGCTTTGCGCCGTTATGGGAGTCTAACTGGGCGTGTCCATTCCTAGGTCAATAAAGAAGCTAAATATTATAAATCTCGATAATTTACATGGAAATTAATTTTAATCTCATACTAAGCTAGCTGAATTTTAATGTTAATTTATTTCTTAATTTAAGATTCTTTTTAATAAATTCCATAAACCCCCTCCCTCCCCTTTAATTAAAGAATGAGTCATCCTTAAAAATGGCATTTTGTCCTATTTCCTATCTAACAAATTCTTACTAAAACATCAATCTGCCCAAATCTGTCATTAGTTTGTTTGACTATATTATCCAAAGTTTTTTCTTCCCGAACATCTCCAATAGTAGTCACAATCTAATTTTAAAGATTTTTATGTCTCCCATCATTTTTCTAGTCAAAAACCTGTTCATTAGACAACCCAAACCCGATACATTCATCAACAACTTGTTTTAAATTAACTTCGTTTCTACCACAAAGAGAAAGTCGATAGCCATTTTTTGCAAATAATAAAGCTGTGGCTTTCCCAATTCCCGAACTGGCACCTTTTATTTTTTAATTTTTTTTTCAATTTATTTCCTTTTATTAACCTGTTATAATTGCAACAGTTTTAATTGTTGTCATAATTAAAATTTATTTTTATTTTACTTAAATTTAAAAAAATTTATTTAGAGACGCGGTTGAATGAAAAATAATATATTAAGTAACTAAAATCTATCAATAAATAGTTTTTGACTAACCAAAACACAAACGTTCATTTTGGTAATTTTTTAATTGGTCCAGAAACTTTAATTTTTCGTTTTGTTAGAAATTGATGGGGTGACCTCTCACTTTGACTACATATACAATTTGTATGTAGAAATAGAGTAGATCTAGGTCGAGGTTTTTTTTAAAAACCGAGACCGAGGATCATTGAGGCTGGAAAAGCCGAGTTCGAGGGGCAAATTTTGGCCGAGGTTCGAGGATAACCGAGGTTTTTAAAAAATCCCCGGAACCGGAACCAAAAAACACCGGAACTTTCTTGAACCGGAACTTCCGGTAAAACTCTAATATTGTCTGCTCTTGGCACCTTTGACTTTTAAATTACTTGCCTCCAGCGCTAATTTTAAATTCAATTTAAACTCTCCTAACTCTTGCCTCTGGCAGTTGTATTAATAAGAGAGAACTATCTTTAAGCTGTCCTTTCTGAATGTTCTACACTAAGTACCTAATCTCTGAAAAACTTTAAGAGATTAATTCGGAAAGAGGTTAAGTTTCGTAAAGTTTTGGTATTCGTGTTTGGCACTCCAATTCTGAGCCCTATTCATAATTCTAACGAAATAAAATAAAATATATTTAATTTCAACAATCAAAACATCACATAACGAAATAGTAATTTAAAAACAAAATAGCCTGTCTAACCCTAATTTTTATTTAAATCTGTTAAGAAGAACTTTGTGTGTTAATTCCGTAAAAATATTTTTTTTTATAATTTTATTTATTTATTTAAAAGTGCAATTAATTTGTGAGTGCATTTAATTACATTTAATATTCACGTGAAATATTCAATAATTTCCTTTTTAATTTTTATTTTTTCTTTTAAAATTTTTTCCGGCTAAAAAAGTGCTTTGCCTTAAAAAGTGCTTATTTATTTCAAAATTATTATTTTGGCTAAAACAAAAGGGGAAGTTTTTTTAAATTAAATTTTCTCAGAGAAATTTTTTTTGAATTTTTAAATGTTTAAATTTATTTTTAATTTCTCAATGTTGAGAAAATTTTCTTTATTTAAAGTGTAAATCTCTTTGACAGACAGCAGTTAAGAATACCAAAAAATGGCTATTAACAATTACCTATTATTCTTTTAGAGAATCTCTGTTGATTCCCTTTTTGTGTTGATTTTTGTGAATAATTTCATAGAACCTGTTAAATCTCAGAAAACAATAAATATATTAATTATTTCCCCAAACAAAAATAAATTTTTTATTAATATTCTTTAATTTTTCCAAGGCCAAAACTCACTAAATGATTAAATCGAATTTCAGTGACAAAGCTAAGACTGCTATGTATATTCTCAATAAATTACCTCCTATTTTATTACCCTCTATTTCAAGTAACCTCTCAATTTCATTTTCGGTTACCTCTCTCCAAAATATTAAGAAATAATTACCCAGAGTAATTATTAGAGAAAGTAATTTAAATTTGTATGTGTTAACATGCACTTTTCACATGATTATTTATGAAATAATTTATTTTTGGCAATTATGCCCTTTTATTTTTGTATTTATTTTCTTTTTATCTTCCTTTCATTACTCATTTAAAATTCCTTTATTTTTAATTTAAAAGACAAAAAAATTAAATTTTAAAAAATAATATTTTTTTGTTTTAAAATGAATTTTCTTTTATTTGTTTTGTTGATTTTAACTCTTCAACAACCATATACAAAAGGTTATTTTAATTATTTAATCCCTTAATCCGCTAAATTAGTCTCCTATTTAAAAAGAGAAAAGTCAATACAAAAATTTGACAAAAATTAAATACAACGGAGGGGAATCTAAATATTCGGCAATCCCGGAGAATAGGGGTTTCTTCGAAAAAAAAGTTTAAAAATAAGAAAAAGGGTTTTTCTAGGGTAAAAAAATATGCTGATTACGAATCTGAACTCGGATTTTGAAAAAGTCGAATCCCGAACCCGAATTCGGACATTCGACATTTTGGGAAAATTTTCTCAGAGCGCAAAATGGTCAAATAATAGCTCATTCGAAAGAGCTCGACGAGCTGAATCGAATGACACCAAAATTACCGTGAATGAACAAGAACAGACAAAGTTACAACACAAAAAACATAGGTTTACGTTGTTTGATTTTGGTATCATAACTTCGCCAGATCTTTTTCAATCACGGTGATTTTGGTGTCATTCGACTCAGCTCGTCGAGCTCTTTTGAATGAGCTATTATTTGCATATTCGAATTTTTCACCCCAGAATCAGCTTGGTCCCCCCTATGGTTTTTCGATTTTGTAGGACCTATATTCGGGTTCGGGATTCGACTTTTTCAAAATCCGAGCTCAGATTCGTAATCAGCACATTTTTTTACCCTAGAAAAATCCTTTCTCTTATTTTTAAACTTTTTTTTCGAAGAAACCCCTATTCTCCGGGATTGCCAAATATTCTATGTATCAGGGTTGCCGCCCGAAACCCGAAACCCGATACCCGAAACCCGGCCTTTTTTTGTACCCGAAACCCGATACCCGAATTGAAAATTTTCCAACCCGAAACCCGAAACCCGTACCCGATATTTTTTCCAACCCGAAACCCGTGACCCGAAATTGGTTGAAACCCGAAATTTCTACCCGAAATCTTAGCCTTACCCGATTTTTTAAACTTAGAAAAATAGAAAGAAATATGTTTATTTTTTTCCAATCTATTTTATATTAGTCGGTGGTCTAATGGTTATTGTGTTTCACCCCAGTCGTTATGTGGGGTGAAACACCCCAGTCGTTATGTGGGGTGAAACACCCCAGTCGTTATGTGGGTTCGATGCCTTGTCAGAAGACGAGTAATATTCGAATTTTTCTTTCCATAAATGACTTTATTTTATGATTTAATTTTGTTTTTAAAATTATTCTATATATTTTTACCCTCTAAAATTCTTAAAAAATTTTCCTTTGGCCACTAAAAAGTGAATTTTTTTGCCCAAGGCCTTCCGAAATTTTCAAAATTTTCGCCTGCGGCGCTGAAATAAGAAGAAATATTGCCTATTGACCTTTAAAATTCTCAAAAATTTTTGCCTGCGGCGCAAAAAATGGAAGAACTTTGGCTTTTTGGTCTTCCAAAATTCCCAAAATTTTCGCCTGCGGCGCTGAAAACGGGAGAAAATTGGAGGCTTTAATGGAAATAAAGCGGAGGGATATTAGTATATAGTGGGATTTTATCAAGGGACCTGTTGATTAATCCACCGATATCCTCTAAATCATTATATCTGCCTTAATTATCTGATATCAATCATCTGATATCATTGAAGGGATTTGAATATATATCAAGTGATATAGGATGCTTGGAGGTCTTTCTTCACAATCTTTATTAATCCTATTTAACAAGTGTTTGAATCTCTCGATATATCTTTTAATCCTGATATATCTTTGCAAAAAGTATATCTTAATCTCCAAATCCCACAATGTCTCTTTAATCTCTTCAAATTTGCCTACTCTATATCACCCAAAATGCTATTATGCAACATACTAGCTTGTATCCTTAAATTTAGTTCACCAATAACCGAACACCCGAAAATAACCCGAATTTTTCGCCAAACCCGAAACCCGTACCCGAAATTTTTGCCAACCCGAAACCCGTGACCCGAAATGAAAATTTTATAACCCGAAACCCGAAACCCGTACCCGATATTTTTGCCAACCCGAAACCCGTGACCCGAAATGAAAATTTTATAACCCGAAACCCGAAACCCGTACCCGAAGATTTTTTGTACCCGCGGCAACCCTGCTATGTATAATACAGATTTTTGGGAATTTTTAGTAAATAATTTACTATAATGAAATCGGTCTGAGAATTCTTTGACCCACACCAGGGAACAGAAAATCCAACTCAGATTTTTGTTAACTTACGGCTTAAAGTTTGACGGAATTCACAATATTTGTATTATGTGAGAGAAAAGAATTTTGGTTTATGAGGACAAATTTTAGACAGAAAAACGGGTGTTTAACTAAAGTTATTAGCTTTTAATTATCCAAAACAAGTCCATGCCAAAATAAATAATTAAAATATTCAGGTGTTATACAAAAATTGAAAGAAAATGCTCCTTTGCTTGTGCCAAATGCAAAAGATGACGTTGTTTATCTTTTTATGTTTCCGCGCACAACAAGGGTAGCTAATCATTGTGTTCCTTGTTTAGCTTTAGAAGCTTGGTTGAGACTTGAAAAAATTCCTTTTCATGTGAGAAAATTAAAAATTTTACTCTACCAAAAAATTAAACTGTTTTAAAGAGAATTAGCAACCAATTTATGCTTGGATCCAAAGAAAATGAAGTCCCATTTATTCAATATAATGGGGAATATTTTGGTGGAATTAAAGAAATTATTTCAAAATTAAAGCCTAGTGAACAACAAGAAAATGAATGTTTGAGTGTTGGAGAGTCAATTAAGGATGGGGGGTATTCTTTAGGGTTTTCATCATCCCCTCTTAGTAGCTCCATGAATGATGCATCCTCTTTGGAAACTTTGTCTTCATCAAAAAGCATGGGGGCTTCGAGCAGTCCTTTACCGGTGAGTTTCTTTAATGGTTAAAATTTGAGTGGTGTAGTTAGACAAATGAATAGACAAATGGGATGTGGAAATACAAAAAATATTTAAATTAAAATAAAATTTGAAAAAATAAAAGACAAGATAGAAGTTTGTGCTATTTTTGGACATGCCTTTTTTAATATTACATTCCCCGTATACCGTTTATTCCAAAAAGTTTATTCCCTTTTTTATGTCTATTTATCAGTTGATTTACTAAAAGCCTTAATAAAGGCTTTCAAAAAAGCCTCAAATTTTTCAACAAAAGGGCCAAGCATCTTTGCTTGCAAAAGGGCCAAGCAAAAGGGCCAAGCTTCAAAATCTCAGAAATAAGTTTGATAAACTTTCAAACAAAATTAATATATTCAGGGATCATTGTCTTCTCCATCACCTACTTTAAATTCACCAAGTTCTTCTATTTCTTCATTCTTCTCCTCTCCATTTTCACCTCGTTCATTACAAAATTCACCAGTTGCACATCACGCTAAAAAGCTTGCTAGAAACAAAACTTTCTCAAATTTTCTTTCTAAAGCAACATGTCTATTGCAATTAGACGAAGAAAGTGTAAAACAAAGAAAACTTGAAACTGTCAAAGGAATTGAAGATAGCATTTGGGAAATTTACAAGTAATAAACGCTTTAAGATATTAATGATATGGACGTAACCATCGGACCTTTATTCTGCATACATCCATGGAATTGAAAATTGGGGCCATCGCTTAGTCATTCCTCTTCTCCGATGGCCTACCATTTCAAAAATGCCCCATGAATATATGAAAATTTTGATACTTTTTCTCAACCCATCCGATCCTTGGTATCTTTTTGAGGTCTGACTATATTGTTTGGTCTGTTTTTCTATTAATACAGGTCTAACTCATTCTACATTAGAAAGGTGTGTCCAAAGTTGGAGGTTTCGAAGAAAAAATAGCCTAAATGCCTGAACTCTTAAATTGAAAATTCCAAAAAAATTTCTAAAATCAGAATAAAAAATATTTAAGAAAAGTCAATTGGTTGTTTCCTACCCGTTAGCAGGAACAAAATAATTAACAAATTATTTTTTAGAATTCTATTGAAGGACCGTGTTAGCGGTGAGGGTCTAACATTTTTAATGAATGATGTTGCCGTACAAGAACCGATTTTAAAATTAAAATTTGCCCAAAATCCAATACAAGAGGTAAAACCCATTGGAACTGAATTTGGTTTTGAGAATTTTGAAATAAAAGAAAATAAAGGAAAGTGTGGGGAAATTGAGGAAATTGGTGAAAATATTAAAGAATGTTTTGGACAAGGATCAAACGGTTTTCGAATGTCTTTAAATTCAGATTTTTGGAGTGATTATTTTAAAATGAGTAAAAATGAAAATCGAATACACTTGAAAGAAAGTCTTGAAATGTTATCAAAATATAGGGTTAGTGGAACTGAAACTGGACATTTACCCTTAGAACCGTCAGCAAAGTCAAAGGGTGTTATGAAAGAAGAATATTATGAATTTAATCCAAAAAATAAAAAATCTTTAAAACACCCAAAAGGTATTGGTTCTTCTTCTTCTTCGAGTGGAGCAGCGGCAAGTGCTTGGTGGGGAATGGAAAGAAAGGTTGAATTGAATGAAAGTGATTTGATTCTTTTTGAAAGTTGGATAGTTCCATTGATAAATGAAATGATGTGGAATGAATTCAGGGCAACAGAGGGGAGTTGGGAATCTGAGGTAATTTTCAATTATCATGACTAGTGAACATTAAAAGCCTTTTTCCTGCCTTATAGAGAGTATACTAGATCCAGCCAGATATGGAAACTCTGCCTTTTAGGGCAGGCTAAAGTAAACTACTGGAATCAAAGTTATTGAATCCAGGAAGTCCTGGTATGGTCCGATTCAGCACGTCGAGGTGCATCGAACCATCCGATAACTTTGAATTAAATAGGACCCATCCCTATAAGTGTACCTTGGCTTTGCGGTACCTTGGGGCGTACTCGTCTAACAATTTCAATCAAAATTCAAATTTTTAGATAAAAAATTATCTAAAATCGGAAAAAATAAAAGAAAAATGACATGTTGGTTTGTTAACACATTCAATAAACTCTAATTTTATGAAGATTGATGGGGAGAAATTAAAATTATATTTCGACCATAAAATGGAAATAATTGTTAAACAGATTAAAACAAGAGACCATAAAAAATACAAATTTTTGTTTGGAAATGAACCAACATTTGTAAATAATTATTATATTGCCTTTTATATTAGTTTTCAGTCCCAGGTTTTTCCGAACTTAAACCGAGTTTTGATTTTAGTTTTGTTTTTGAAAACAAACATTTTCGGGAATTATCTGTTTTAGAGGTATTTAAATTTTGACAAAAGCGGTTGGATAATTTCTGACAAAAAATATCAAAATTCTCTGTTTTAAAACAGATCCCTGGAAATATGACTTCTGAAATAAATACTTGTAAAGAAACCGGAGCTTTTGTTTGCAGTTTTTTCTTGCCTCCTTCCGTTCCTTTTAGTATTTACTCAGAGAGAATCCCACTAAAAACACAGGGAACTATATAGGGAAAAGTCCACAAAAAGTTACAAGAACGTCCCATTTTTTACTAATGTCCCGAAAAAATCGGGATTAGTATTTTTATTCTATTTATGTTTAGACAGACGCTTTATTGTTCGGCCTTCTTTTCCAATTTTTTCAATTGGTCTTAAATCTGAACCTTTTGACTACATATTTCGCACCTATACCTGGCTACTATGACCCCTCTCTTTTATCATACTCTTCTGAAGAGGTAACATTTATGCGTGATTTTGTAACAACAATACAAAACGAATTGGGATGGAAAGGAAAATTTAGGCCAACAACAGAAACGACATCTTCCCTAAATTTTGAGAAGGACTACGAAGGCAGAGAAAAATATGAAGGTAAGGAAGCAGGAAATATAGAAAAGTGATTTGTGGTTGTGTAGTCCTTTGCTTCATACACAATGATCGTCCGAAAGTCGACAACCTTATATTAAAACCGTTCATATTTTGGAAGTTGGGTTTTTGTGGGAATAAAATAATTGTGGAAAAGTTCAGTTAACTCACACCCGATGATTGGACTAATTAACGGTCTTTTCTTAATCAAGCAATCTATTCCCTAGCAATACCATCAAAGATATACCCTCGAATCTACGGATATCCCCTATGAATCCAACCAGAATGCGATTTTGTGACGATCAAAATTGTTTAGGCTATCTATCTGTGTATAAAATATAAATTGAACTAATATATTAATTTAATTTAAAATTAATATTTTTCTAGGCCCTTTCCAAATCAAGACAGATTCACTCTATTGGTTACCCAATCTTTTTAATAAAGTACATGGACCCCATGATTTTGAATTTCATCCGTATTCAAACAACAAAGAATTATTTACTTTTGTCATTAAAAAATTGAAATTACACGCCGAAAAGGAGTGGAATTGGAACTCTTTAGATTTCCAAAAGTTGTCAATTCCTTTAATTCATTGGGTTAGTGCTTATCTTTGTGATATTGGGAAAGAGACAGATTGTGGCAAAATACACAAAGATAAAGGAAAAATTATTTTGGATCATTTAAAAAATAAAAAATTAGAAAGAGGGGAAATTGAAGAAAATAAAATTTTGAAAGACTCGATAAATTCTTCTAAAAATTCTCAAAGTTGGGAAGAAAAATTTGAGAAAAATGTTGGAAATATTGTTCATTTGGCTATTATTGAATTTAATGAGAATATTATTGCAAATAATGTTAAGGAAGCTGTGATGGAGGCAATAAAGGAGTCTGAAAAGAAAGTTTCTGATCCGATAATGATTCCTAAATAATAATTATTTTTTAATTATTTAAAAAATAAAGGCAAACTTTTTCCTTTTATGTATATTAATACCGTATTTACTCGATTAATTCCCCTCCCTCGAATAATTTTCCCTGCTACGGATGAGTTACAATAATCCCCCTCCCCCAAATACCCTACTTCACGTTCAAATTTCAAAACCCGAATAGTTCCCCTCCTTTGAATAATTCCCCATGCCATGGATGGGTGTAAAAATAATTCGCCAGGGGAATTAATCGAGTAACTACAGTAAGTTTCTTCCAAGTTTATTTCCAAAATTATGCTTGTAAAATTTTTACTTTTTTTTAATATGTATTACCTATTTAAATTTCTCTTATAATACCTATTTGTATAAAGCTTCCGCTTTTTCGAAATACCGTAAATGCTCTAATAGGATCATTCTCTCTAAAAGAAGCCCACTCTCTAATATAACCAAACGACAAAAGGAGTGAAAAATACAAGCACATGAGGTTCTATTGAAGCATTTACAGTTCTATACTTGGATTGTTCTACACCATCATGCTCTGAAATTCTTTGAAAAAATGAAAAATTTAAAGGCATATTTAATGAAAAAAATTTTTACCACAAAAAATAATTTTTAAATATTCTTTGAAAATTCTCAAAATCTTTACAGCTTTCTAAATCTTTTAAGATGTTTCGATTTTTATTGAAAATATTAATTATATATATTTTTTTAAAATTCTCTTTTACCAAACAAAATTCTCTGTGATTTATTTTCAATTTAATTTTTGTAATTAAAATTAGATTTTGCTTTATTGAATTTTTTAAAAAAAACTTCACCTTTCTGAAAGAAAAACAATCAAACATTTATTTTCAAATGTATATTTAAATTTTATCATTTAAAAACAATTTATCTACTACATACATATTTCATAAACAAAAATAATTTATTTTTTTGAACTTTTAAAACCTGTCTTCATTTAAAAATTTTTTATTTAAACCGAAACATAAATTTGATAAAAAAATAATTTAAATCTTGATTAATTAATAAATAATTGTTTTATTTTGTTATAAATAAGAAAGAATAATTAGTTTTGAAAGTTCATTAAATAAAAAAAATATTTTTTAAATTAAAAATAATTAATTAATTAAATGAATTATTTCCTTTTATTTCCATTTTTGTTAATTAATTTTTGTTATTACACAAACGGTGAAAAAGCAACAATTGAACAATGCGAAACTGTGGTTGGATATTATGTAAAGGATGACTGCATGTATGTTAATTATATTATATTTATTAATTTAGAGATTTTAATCATTTCTAATTATATCCATCAAATAAATAGATAATATATTTGTTTTACATTTTATTTTTGAAATCTCAGATTAAATTTTTTGTATTTTTCAAGCTTTCTTAAACTTTTTTAAAAATAATAAATTTCAGCTGCACAGCTGAATATTCTAAATGTCTAACATCATTAATATCTCGAGTAAAGTGTAAAAAAGAGGATTTTCCAACTAATTTTACTGAAATAACGTTGTGTACTGAAATGTATTCTAAATGTTCGTTAACGGAAAATGAATGTGGAATTGGTATTTGTGGATGTTTTGAGTAGGGGGTTTACTTTTTATTTCTTTAATTTAAATAGGACTGTGAAAAACATGCAAATGCATTTTTTATGCGGCTATTCCATGTTGAGATAAGCTCAAAAAAGGGGTTTCTAAGTTTGCTCGATCACTTATGACCCTGTTCTTGATGCATATTTTTTGCATATTTAGGCATCTAGTGCATATTTGCATATCGATGCATATTCTTGGCATTTCTTGGCATTTTTGAGAAATTTGTAGTTTAAAAAATATTTTTTGCAAAATACATACATATAAGTTTTCAAAAATTTTTTTGAAAAAATCCCTTCGAGGTCATGATCTCGTGCAAAATGTGTTTTAATGTCTTAATCCTACTTTATTGATAGGACAACATAGATAAATGAGTTTTTTCGCTTAAGTGAAACTTTTTTTAAAATTATTATTAGTTATTTGATAGCTTATAAATAATGCTACAAAACTATATAAAAATTAAGACCCGAGATAAATGATTAGACGAATAAATTTTAGAAATAAAATTCTAAACATTTTTCCCTATTTAAATTTCCGCCACTGTATATAAAAATTAAAGCTTGTCTATTGTTGATTGTTTGATCCAAGATAAATGTGAATATAAAAAATCGCTCGGCAGTTCAACATCAGATAAACGTATATTTTAATGAAAAGATATTTTTTTAATAATTCTAATTTTAAATTTAAATATTTAGGTGTTCGAGCATCTGATACAATTTTTGGTTTTAAAAATTTATTTGATGTAAATTTTGAAAAGAATTAATAAATAGAGTTAGAATAGATTTTTGAATTTCACATAATTTTTTTCACAATAATTTTTTGAAATATTTAATTAAACTATTCATTAACATAAATCTTTACATACATAGTAAATATCAGGGTTGTGCCAAAACGAATTTTAAAATAGAGTTGATCAAGACGAGACCGTTACCGAGACCGTTATCTTTCCAATATCGGTCTCGGTTTTTTCATTCTCGTTCTCGAACCCGATGCTGAAATTCTCGGTCCATTTTCGGCGAGAAACGATACTGACTCAAAGAAGCAAAATCCTCAATATTGTCCAAGTTTTCGTCCATAATTTTTTCGGGTATCCGTCCATAACAGAGAAAGTGAATTTTTTTCGAATAAGGTCTTCTAAAATTCAAAAATTTTCGTCTGCGGCGCTGAAATGTTGAATTTTCCGGGCTCTCGGCCGTTAGATTTTCAAGATTTTGATTACAGAGCCTTCCGATTTTCGGCAACTATTGTTCCCACCAGTGGATTAAGGGGATTTAAAGTGATCGAAAGCAGGGATGGACATAAATTCTCAAAATTTTTGCCTGC